TATACAGGGTGAGTCATCTGAATCTATCACCTCCAATAACTCGTTTGTGTGGCCAGGAATCGAAAAAAGTTTCATATAAAAGTTGTAGGGTTTCGAGGGGGAACCAAAATGGCGTACCTTTCAACTTTTGATTTTGACCGAAAGTGGGTTACTTCAACCGGAAGTGGTTTTTTTTAAATGGAAACCCCCCTTTTTGACACCGGAAAATGAAAAAGCGGAAAATTTTACGTTCAGATATAACTTTGGCTGTTTTAAAATTTTCAAGATAGCGGACGAAGATGGCGGACAAAAATTTTAGTCAACCGATTTGCACCAAATTAAGTTTACGAGGGTTTTTGGGGTTGCTGATCACGAATCTGAAGTCAGATTTGCAAAATTCAAAATGGCGGGTCCAAGATGGCGGACCAAGATGGCGGACGAAATTTTTAGCCGAAATTAATAGAAATTACTACTCTTAGCACTACCCAGGAACAACGGCGTGGACGTGGTAGTTTTTTGTTCCCTTTGGGGTGCTTTATTTACATGAGTCCCCTTGCCTCTCACTATCGGGGTGCTTTATTTAGTTAATTTGTAACTTCAAACAGTTAATTCGCTAAGTGTACTACTTACTGTGGGAGTGACGAACCACGGGGTCCTGATCTTTGCTGTGACACACACACACACACACACACACACACACACACACGATGCGCAAAATCCAACCAGCAACCTCCTCGTAGTGTGCATCGGGTAACGCTAATGCTGGCGGTAACAACACACAAAAAATGAAATTCTTAAAGGAATGCAAATATGGCTTAATCCAAGTATAATTTAAACTTAGAATAGCGCAAAGAATAAATAATGTCCGATGAAGAATTAATTATTCTTAAACACAAGTAAAAGATATTCTCACTTGAAAAGAAACTGTATTTAAATGAAAGTATAAAATTGCATTCGCCCAACACAAAATATGCTTTTATCAGCATTATTTATTCTTAAATGACGTTTTTTGTCAACTGAATCCCAGAAAAAAATTTTCGACTCAAATACGTTACTTTCTTTAAATAAAAGGTATGTTTTACTAGATAAATTTAATTCATTATAATGCTTAACTCTAACCTATATTTCTAATAATAATGTCCCACATTTGGTTACAAATTTGAATGCTAATACTTGTAAATCTTCCTTTTATATCAACATTTTTTGTAAGTTGTAGATATAAAAATTTGTGTATCTGTAATAAAATAGATAAAGATAGTTAACACAGATACATAAAACTGAGCTTACATCCACAGATTATAAAATATGTTAATGTATAAAAAAGGAAAGCTTATGAATGTGAGTATTAAGAACTGTGATAGAACATGAGATATTGTTATTATTAACTATTTATATCAAAACGAAGTTTCAAAATGAAGTAGAATGGAAATACATATAGAAACTTGTATATTTAAACTTATATATTTATTTTAAAGAAATTGTTCTATATATTATATTATTTTAAAGAAATTGTTCTATATATAAAATGATGATATTCGTAAGGAAAAATTATTCGACGATGGAAATAGAAGCCGTCAAAGTAACGTCGATTTGTCATCATTTGGACGACGAATCATTTATTTTATGAGTTTTTTACATTCGCCTAAATTAAATATAATTTATTTGGTTGTAACTCTTAGTATTAATACAAACATTACATATTCTACTTATTTTTAACATTTTCTTACACCTATATTTTGAACAAGAAATTCAAGCAATTTTCATTATTTTGCGCATTAAAACCTTACAACTTATGCCGGAAAGTTACATAAGAACATCCGTTTGGACCCGTTCGAATATGAGTTGGTGAATGACTCTGAAGTGTCTTCTGCTATATAAAAATCCACTTTTCTGCAGGAACAACTTCATATGCTTGATACAAAGAAGAGAATGATAAAATCTGAAAACCTTTCAAAATAAAAGAAACAGTCCTAGTATCAATTTCAAACAAAATAAACTTAATTTAACCAAATATAGGATACTCTTCACTAAAGTTTGCTAATAAAATCATTCCCGTTTTATAATAAGTACCTAACACGTCAGCCCATTTTAAGATATGAATTTCATCAACAAATTTATTAGACAAAAGATGAATAAAATTATCAAAATTTTCAATTGTATTAGTACGAATGACTTTTCCAGTTCATACTTTAATTTTAGGCTCCAAACCCTTTTGTGCAAGAAGACGATGACAAAATTTCAATTGAGCTTTTTGAGCTAATGTCTCAGGCAAATTTTTGTGGCAACAATTAGCGGCAGCATACCGTATCGACTGTTTATGCTTTGCCTCAAAGCGCCAGCATGACACAAACAATAAAGGCCCAATTTGTTCACAACATTCATCATAATGAAGCATATTATGATGTTTCGGTTTTAAAGTCTCATTAGGAAACAACTCCAAATATAAAGAATGATGCTCAGTTATCAAGCTTTTAAGAAAAACTATGTCATTACGTGTTACAGTTGGAGAAAGAAGAATGTTGACAATTTCAACAATGACTTCATAAAAGCGCCATAGTTGCTTATCTTCAGTTGTAATATAATCTCCAATCATAAGACTAAAATACCTCACAAAATACAGTGTCTCAGCAACTGTAAACGGAAGACTTCTCTTTTTGAGGTTTTTTATTTCAACAATACCTGGCCTGTTTGATGTCTCACAATAGCCATAATCAAATCCTTGAATTCTATTATTTAATTCATCAATAGTGAAGCGTTTTAGCTCTATTAATTTCAAAATTAGTAAAGACATGTCATAATTCCATGATCCTTCATCAAGATCATGTATTAAGTCATAGGCAATATTTTCAGTACAATGGAATCCCAAAAGATCGTTCCATATACAAGAAGATTTTATACCTGTATTGCTGTAGTTATTTATGGCAACATCCGCTGCATAATTCTAGCGATTCCTCAGAAGAGACGTATTGACTTTTGTTTGAGTATAAGATATACTTTTGTGAACTTTGCATCTTCGACAACAATAGTTTGCGTTGAAGGAATTAATAAATCCCAACACATTACGCACACCTTCAGTATCACCCACAAACACAGCAAGTGCAAAATGATCTTGAGTTTCTGTGCCGTTTACCACTATAGTAATTCCTTCAGTTTCAAGATACTGCAACTCATGTAGAGTTCTACGAAATAATTCACCATTTCCAAAGTATTTATCTTGTGCATACACAATTTGAGCTGAGAACATATTTTCTAAAGCACTTCTGTCTTCAGGTGATAAACAAGGTAAAAAGTAGTATAAAACACCTATTTTATTAACACCGTTATGAGGAGAGCAAGTATCTCCGGGTTCAAACTCATCATAGTAGTAGCATCCAATAGGAAGCAGAAGTTTACCAGGAAATCTCGGTTTGATTTTTTCTTTCCACAATTTTGCTTGAATTAAATTTTCAATGATAGAGCCATCTGATCTTCCTAATTTATTCATGTACGATAAAATTTTATTGAAAACATGTAGTAATTCCAAAAATGCACGTAATACTGAGCGCATGGGAATAAATTGACCATAAAGATCAGTTGGCTCCATTAACACAGATCCATATGAATGTTTTGAACTTAGAGAATGACCTACAATAAAAGCTTCAGGTTTAAGGATGTTTGCGTCCTCTGTAGTTGTAAAGCCATAAAGAGTTTTTTGAATAAGTAACCATACGTGGTCACATTGGGCAGTGAAAACCATGTCTAAAACAAAGAAAGTCTTGAAGCATATATCCAATGCTTGCTGGAAGGTTCCTAATTTGTAATAAAAGTCGTCAATCACAACAAATATTTCATCTATCACATCTAGTTGTTTGGCTACATATAAAATGTATGGTTGTACGGAGGCAGATCGTCCAAATTGATTGCATATTTTTTCACGTCTTTCTGCTATAAAATTTTGAACTTGACCAGGAATCTGCCAAAAAAGAAGGTTATTTGACTAATTTAAAATGCATGAACAATGAAAAATGTTATATATTAATATAGCTTACCTTAACATTAGCAATAAAAGCATCTCTGCTTTCTTTAATTGTAGGTTTGAATTTCTTTGTGCCAAGCTGCACTTGCCTACTTGGAGGTAGCAGTGAAGGTAAGCACTGCATAAGCAGAATATTTTTTGATTCTATAGATAACATACTCGTATATTGATAATATACTTCATTAATAAAAATTTATTGTACAGTGTTAACTTGACAAACTTAACTGTAACTATTAGCAAGAAAAAATGAAGCAATATTTTTTTAATGTTCCAATTATGTGAAATTATGTAAAATCGTATCCGTAAAATTGTCTTCTACTTTTTACTTAAGGTATATATATATATATATATATATATATATATATATATATATAT